TGGACTAATAAAACATTTTTATTTTTCTCTGTCATAAAGTTTCATTTTGGCAACTTATTATACAATAGTTTGAATCTGTAAAATAAACATAATAATGCTATAAAGCACAATTTATGAAACAGCTCTTGGCAGAAGCAATATTAGCTACGTAATTAATTAAAAATGACTTCTTTTTAATTTTTTCATAGTAAGAGTTTTTCCTTTGTAATTGTCTCGAATATTCAAAATTCTCAGAATGTGCATCAGTTTTTTCTATAAAATTAATTTTACACTTTTCCCTCCTTTTTTTTTTTTTTTTCCAAAATATTTTTGGCTTTTTGCTGTTACAGAATTGGTAGGGATAATTTTTCTTTAGGGTTTTAGACATTGCAGTTTGGAAAGTTTAGAAGAATTTGAAGGCAAGATTTATAGACACAGGATTCTAGAAGATTCAAGAAATATGTGACAGAATAAAAAATGTGTCCATAGTATCAACATGTAATCGATGTATTTTATAGAAAGTTTGCAATGAATTTCTTACTTTTTGGAAAATGTCTGGAAGAACAATGAAAACATAATATTTGAATGTTTTACTTCTGAAACTAGAATAATTTTCTTAACATGTTTATCTTCCTTCTATTTTCTCTACTTTTCACTAGACATGGAAAATATCAAAAATGCTTCTAATCTTATCACATGGGCTGGCATTATAGAAAGGGGTTTTTTATTAATAAAAAAATTGAAAACTTGCAATTTAAAAGATTAATTTAATATGTCTTAATGCACCATACTCATAGCTGGCATGAGGCATTTTCCCACTTGACGCAATCTCTGTGGATCCTAAATTCTGTTGCCTAGTGCCTTTCTAAATGCATTCAATGCCAGCTCTAAATTCTAAAAGTTTTGCCATTTATAGATTCGGTGTGTCATTCAATTCTAAAAATTCTACCACGTTAGCTTTGTAACTGGCCTTTACCATATATATTTCATATTTCTTCTGAATATTTATATTACTAAAGAAATAAAATTAGGCACTTTTTCTGTACATTCTAAATGCATTTAGTGTTTTTTATAATAACAAATTCTTAATTAAATCAAAAAAATTCTAAAATGAAAAGGAAACATGTTGAAGAAAGAAACTAAATACACAAAGAAAATTATTCTTCAAAGATATGTGCAGTTATTAATATATAAATTACCCAATTATTTATGATTTCAGACTTTACTATAATTTCCCATTTCTATTTCCTCATATGATAGAGTTACTGAGCCAACCCTCTGAGCGGCTAGGGTTTTCACTAAGCACAAATTTCCCAAAACTACTATGAGAACAAATTATGTTTTTGATTTTAATGTAAAAATTCTCCTGGTATTACATACCTGGATTTTTGTACTTTTGATATATTGCGTCAATTTCTTTAACATATTTTAATATGCACGTATATATACATTCTTACAGATATCACAAAAAATATTCTGGGCCGTATATATACAGCCTTGCCGTTTAGAGGATTAAATTAAAACTAAATTGTACAATCTTTGACCACTAGTCCACATTTTTAGTTTGAATTTGACTGTTCTTGTTTAATTACGTCACCGTGAGCTGTAATTGATTTTGTTAGCATCAGAGCATGCCTTTATGTTTTAAGTTCTTTTTAAATAAGAGGCTTATTTAAACCTTTGTCTGATATTGCAGGTACTTTCAGACATAGCGATAATATGCTTCATGTTTGTTGAAGGGTTTGGACTATTTAACTTTTACCAGATCAAATAAACCTTCATAGGTACATTGTGGAGAGGTTTACAAGTTAGGAGATAAAGCTCGCAGAAACTAGCAAGAGCACTGGTTTTTGCATATTGAGACAAATCTCTCATTGTTAGAAAAGATAAACTAGCCAAAATGTCTGGGAAGGCTTCAAATTAAAATGACGGGTAAATATTTTGTTGAGTGTTGTTACAAAACATAAATGTTTTGTAACATTTATGTTTTGTAACAAATGTTACAAAACATAAATGTTTTGTAGCTTTTAATGTGTAATTATCCTAATATCGTTTAAGAATCAATGTCGTAAATTACATGTATTTTAAACTATGAAATTATATTAGATTTTGATAGGGCCTTTTTTAACAAATATTGTTTTAAAATAAAATTTAATAGTGGCCATCTAAATCCATAATGACTAAGGTTATTAACCTACCTAATTTAATTATTGATAACTAACTGTTTACCCTTAAAATTTTTCTCTACATATTAAAGCAAGTTATTGCCTTTCATTAATACTCCCTGTGGTCAGGCCCACCAGCTCCTGAGCGGTAAAGACGCTGAACACTGGTAATTTAGTCTGAGGTTCGAATCCCATGAACGAGCTGCCTGCATTTACATTTTCATGGTTTTCCCCATGTGTAACGTGTATACAAGCAAGTTTCCCTTCAAAAGTACTCCATAAAGGCATCCCTCCCTTTATTCAAGTAAAACGTATTCTTTGCATCTAGTGAGACTTAAAATAATACAAAACAACTTATCATCTCTGGTGCTTTAATGGCTTATTGGGACCTTAAAGTATATTAACTGGGTTACAACCCCTGGAACTCTACACGAAGCTACGACCCTAACTGCATCAAAAAGAGTCTGACTGACTTTCAACACTTGCCAACCATGCGTACATCAGGCCTTTCAGGTTTGTTCGAATCAGCAGATCGATCTCTATATTAGCAGCAGTGGTGACAACATTCAGTCTGTTGTTATGAATGATGCTGATTATGATCTTATTTCTTATTTTAACTTATGCCGATTGACAAAATCTACTTGCTGTTTACGAAACCAATGAATAAGTAGACTGACCAATGAATAAGTAGACTGACCAAGTATGTGACAAAATGAGGCATAAAAAATCAGCTTAAAGCTAACTGTTAGTAAAACGTAAATGTCATTTATCTTCTTTCAAATATGTCTAACTATTATAAGTGTAAAATATTTAATTCTACTTGATAAATTGCTTAAAGTTTATTTTATTCTCAAACTTATTAATAATTATGTTCATTAATTCATGTTTAGTAATAATGCATACTACTTAGGATCTATTTTATTTTTAGGATGGTATTACAAAAGTGAAATTCAGGCATAGATAATATTTTTAATTGAATTTATTCAGTTCCCATTTGCTCATAGGTCCTTATTTTTTTTTTCATTAATGGTGCTTAAAAGTTCTTAAAAGTACTTAATTTCCATGTGCAGAAATGTGTACGAACCCTGGATAAATTATTTTTCTCCTTTTAGTGCATTAATTATTATACCCATTTTAAATAAAAGCTTATTATAAAGAAATCTTTTAAAATTATATTTTATTTTTTATTCTCATTTACACATTATTAATGATGAAATTTTTAGTATTATTTAAACATATTAAAAAAATTTAATATATTTTTAATTTATTGTTATTATAAATAATGAATTATAAGAAAATTATGAAATAATGAAAACTGAATGTTGTTCAAAGAATGAAAGAAAAGTAACTGAATGTTGTTCAAAGAATGAAAAGTTCCTTGAACTTTAAGCTTTGAATATTCAGTTCTAGAAATTGGATCTAATAACAGTGTTGCAGCAAGCATTTTAGTTAAAGTTAAAATAAAAAATTAATATTGTCGATTCATCATTAAATGCTGCAATATGACAAACTTTCTCATTGTGACAAGATGGCAAACTCAAAGTGCTTTTATCTTCTGTCTACTTCAGACTGCAACACATAAAAGGAAATAAATAAAAAGTAAAAGAAAGAGTAGTAATTCTCTCAATTAATATTTTTTAATCATGCTTGCTTTAAAAGAGGACACAAAATTTGTTTTATAATCTGAAAATTCAAAACTTTATATAAAATACATTTTTAGATGTTGAAATTTTAAAATCAAATAGTCTAAAAAAATCAAGCAATTTAAAAAAATTTGTCAAAACTAAGTTACAATTTTCATACATATTTCATTAAAAACATCCCCCCCCCCCGTATTCAATAGTGCAAAGAGCAGCATTCTGATGTATTTAGTTTGTTCATTAAATGAAGATTTGTGCAACAAATAATTTAATTATGAAATGTTAAAAAAATCAAAATGAAATTTTGAAGAAATCATTTCAACACATTGCATTATCTTCGACTAATAGCATGTGTACAAAATTTGAACTCTGTAGTTTATCAGAAAGTAAGTTAAAAATTGATGACAAAATTCCACCAACAATGATACACCATGAATGAACTGAATAAAAACTTATTGTAAAAATAGAAATTATGTGATAAATGTCCTAATCTATAAAAAAAAGGGGAGAAATAATGTAAATATGGTTTAGTTTCACTTTCAAGAATAGGAACCCACCTGAAGCTTTAAAGCTGGTGACAGCAATGATGGGGTATGCGAGACTGAGTTGATGAAATGCTGAGAAATCCAATATAAGACACAATGATTAATTACCATATTAATATTTCTTCATTTTTTTTTATCTGTTTATGCACCTCTACAACTTTTATATTTTTCTGCTTGAGTACTGAAAACTGTAATTTTAGTTTTGTTGTGGCTGATATTGAAAGTCTGAAATGAGATAATAGGCTTGAAACCCTAAAACTATGTGTCCTTTCAAAATTGAAATTATGTTTTTTATCTCTTAGTATAAAAAGGAATAGCTGAATCTATTCCCCCCCCCCATCTTCCCGAAAAGAAAAAATTCTGCATGAATTACTTTCAGTTAGTAAAGCAAGTGCAATTACTTTCGGTTAGTCAAGGTGCAAAATAGTATTAAATAAGAAATATCTATATCACTTTTTTTTATTATAATGTATATGAAGTGGTTCGTTTGTTTAAAATTTCAGTATTAAATTATTGGTAACGTGTTACAACTAGGGAAAAAAAAATACCACTTATTTTCAAGGGCAATAAAAATTTATCCTAAATAAAAATTTATCCTAAAGCTTGTTAAGTGGATAAATATTTTTCAAGTTACCTATTAATGTTTTTTAATCTATGAATTTTATTTTTAGCAACAAATCTCTTTCATATGTTATCTTACCAGCATCAGATTGTGATAAATTTGATAAAGCATCCCATGTGTGCTCTGGAGATGCAGAAACGACCCGAATTTCGTAAGTTGCATCAAAGCAAATTTGAAAATTATCATAGTAATTATTTTCTAAGTTTCAGTATTAAATATATTATATTACAGATTTTATGCAGAAAGTTTTCATGTTTCCTCAAGTGCTTTTAGTTAAAGATAGCTTTTTTTTTTTTTTTTTTTCCAATTTATGCGAAGTTTGTAATAATACATTTCTCCTATAACAGTTTTGTCCCAGGAAGTCTCAGTCTTCTGTATTAATTAAAATAGAATTTTAAGAATTATTTTAATTAATGTAAAAGCCTGAGACTGTATACAAAAATGGCAAAAGAAGCTAAATGTGAATTAAAAATTACAGTGAGCTGTTTGTGGGATAAGCATTGCCTTTTAAATTAGATTTGATATCTTACACTTTATTTCTTTATTTTTATTGGAATAATGTGCACTTATAACATAGTTTATGACATGTATCATCTGTATGCAGTGTGGAGTATAAGAGGGAGAGATCAATAATGAATGAGAAGGAAAGTCATCGTATTAGAATTTTCAGAATATTTTATTTTCAAGCAAAATTTCCTGAAATTGAAAGGGACAGAGGAGAACACTAAAAAAGATCTAACACTTAAAAATAAAGATTTTTTTTTTAAATTTTAATTAAATGCTTACAATTTTTAACCCTTATTTAAAAAACATGCCTGCTTTTGCTAATTGATATGTGCATGATATTAAATTTGTATAAGTAAATAAAATTAAAAGTCAACTGAAAATGAATTCAGTTATAAGAGCTCTGTTTGTCTCTTTTTGGAGAGGGGTTGTGATAAGTTAAACTGAAAATATCAAAAATATAAAAAAAGTGCACTAATATGTAAACAAAATTAAAAGCAATAAATAATATATATTTCAGTTATAGTTATTAAAATTAAAGCAATAGTATGCATTTCATTTTTATTATTAAATTTTATTCTAGATACAGATAACCATGAAATTATTGGTAGGAATATTTCTGTCCTTCAGTAACAGCATATTAGAAACCTTTTTTTTACTTATGGTAGTCATTGAATAAAAAAGTACTCATAAAATGTTGTCAAGAAGTTCCAGTAAAATATCTTTTTTAGATTGTAAATGCTGCTTTGAATACTGCACTTTAAAATTTTACAGATAATTGAAATGTTTTTTAAATTATAGATTAGCAACAATGTGTATTTTCATGGACAAAATTTTGTTGCAAACTGTAAATAATAAAACCTTGAAGAAACTTTATTTTGGAAATGTTTAAAAACAGACTGTAGTATGAAAATTGGCTTTAAAAACTTTCTTGAAAGCAAATGCTGAGTTGGCAAGAAAGTAATTTCAGTTTTTGAAATAAATAATCCAATGCTGCAAGGTCGGGCCATATTAGGGATGTGACATCACTTCCTAAACAAACTCCAAAGTGCTGCTAAAAATGAGTGGGGCCTTGCATTGTTGTGGTAGAACATGATTCATTTCCGATTTGCTAATTCTGGTCTATTCTCTTTGAGAACTGTCTCCATTTTCATAAGTTGTAGACAATAAGCATTTGAGGTTATCATTTGTTTATTTGAAGTCAGCTCAAAATAAACACTTTTGTAATTCCATTATTGTCAGCATGAGCTTTTTCTGGTGCAATTTAGCTTTAAGTATGATTTGTACTGATTCATCTTGCTTGAACCATGATCTTTGTCAATCAGTGTTTTTGTAAATGATTCATTTTTCATCATCAATTATAATTCATTTAAAAAAAGGTTGATTGTATTATGTTTGTAATGAGTATCGCAAATAGTGATTCATGCAGAACCTAAATATTGGGTTTCTTAATGAGTTTAAGGCATTTTATGTGATTTTCAGTTGTTGTGTGTGATACATTTAACTTTTTGAAGTCTCTCACACAGTTATATGACGGTCTGATTCAATTATGGCTTTAATTTTGTCATGATTAGCTGCTAGAACAAGTGAAATAAATAAATAATGAAAATATCAAAAATATTAAAGTGCACTAACACATGAATAAAATTAAAAGCAATAAATAGTATGTATTTCAGTTATAGTTATTAAAATTAAAGCAATAGTATGCATTTCATCTTTATTATTAAATTTCATTCTAGATACAGATGACATATCCATGAAATTTGGCCATCTTCAAGTGAAAACTTGGAAAAAAATTATTAAATTTTATTCTAGATACAGACAGTCTGAATGTTACACATGTAGTAGAATGTAGGAATGTTTGATGGAATTTTGCATAAAAAAGATCTTCCTCCTTTGCCCTTTTTTGAAAGATAAAGTAATTCTCTTTCAATACTGTGAGCAGAGTTATTTTGTCAAACTTAAGACAATGATCTTGTATTTATTTATTTAAATGTAACGTATGTGTATAAATGTGAGTATAAGTTAGATAATTATTTTAAAAATGTTTTTATATCAAATCGGAAGAGAAACATACCAATGGGGAGGAAAATTTTATTTTGGTCTAACTTTAAAAATCTGTTATTATAGTTATCTTAGAAAGAGTAATAGAATTCTCCCTTTTAGTATGCAGATGAAGAAAAGATATTGAATGCTATAGTTTTTTCTGCATGGTTTAATAACCAACACACAGGGGAAAAACTTGCAACTTTTAAGAAAACATATTGTATTGTATCTATTATTTTAAAAATAATAAATAAGTAACCTTTAAACATTATCAATGTTTACAGTAATAAAATCACTCTTTAATTAAAGTTATTTTTTCACACAGTTTTTTTCGGCTGGTGTTTCAAGCATTTATATCTGCAAATTGCACAAATTGCTGCCAGTGTTAACATGACTATATCATCACTCCTCACTTCCTGTTTTAGAGGGAAAAGCTATACGAAATGGCCCTTATCTTCCAAGTCATGGCAGAAACTCCTTGATTTGTTCTTTGACAGATGATACTCTTCATTTTCTCCAACTTTATTCCCAACCTTGTCTGCTCTGCTTTTCATAGCTTCAAATTTTTTTTTCTATTATTTTAATAATCTCTCTTTTTATTTTCTCTTGACCTTCTTCAGTTTTTCTTGCACTGACACTTCTTTTCCATCTTTTTTTGACCTGCTTTCATCTCTTACTGCAGCCATCAGTAAGGAGCTGTCATTGCCGAATGAAAAGAAATTCTTTCTGTAGGATCAAAATAGATGATGATACGTGCCAAGCAAAATGTTATATGGCGATAATCAATGAAGAAAATAATTTACTTCAGGCTTTAAAAATCATCACACATTACTGCATTTTGAAAGAGTCCAAAAGTGCATAAAGTAGTGACAAACAGTTCGAACGAATTATCGGTGACAGCCAAGCCATTTTTTTTCCGAAGCCAGAATCTCATATGCAGTCGGCTAAGTCGGAAGAATTTCATGAGTTCTAGTCCAGTAATTAAATCTTATGTACAAGACTTTAATTTTCAATGTGCAGGCAGGCAGTCAAGTAAGCCTGATTTCAGAAGATTATATACAGAAACTAAAGTTACCAAGAAGACATGCAAAAGTTTTATTTCATGTTTAGAGCCATTGGATACAAAAACTAATGGAAATACAGAAATCAATTTCGTCCCACATTTTCCAGTGAAAGTGTCATTAACAACACCAGTATTTAACATCAATAATATTATTGGAACATTGCCACATGTTACATTAAATAAGAAGAATGTTGAGGAATATAATGATTTAATATTGGCGGATCCAACATTCTATATATAAGAGTGGGCCTGCTGATATACTTTTAGGCTTAGATATCGCTTTACCTCTTTTGAAGGGGGGGGAAGTGATTAAATGCAAAGAAAGTAAACCAGTAGCCTCTAGTTCTGAGCTGGGATGGATTATTTTGGATAGTGTGAATAATTCAGCAGAGGTTAATCCCATTATCTGTGGGAATAATATACAAGTGGAAACTGTGCAATTGCTGTCTAAACTTTTGGAAATTTGATGCTGTACCTACATTTGACATGCTTACCAAATCAGAAAGAGCGTGTGAGGATTACTTCAAATCTACATTTACAAGAGAGGAAAGTGGTGTATTACTGTTCCATTCTCCGCCTTCTAAGCTTGGGGATTTGAGACAGCTATGCATGTAGATTCATGAATCTCGGCTATCTCAGCTATGCGTGTAGATTAAAGTCTTCAGAGAATTCACTTTTAAAACGTGAGATATATGAACAATGTAAGGATTTCATGAGGGAATACCTTGAGATGAGACATATGGAAAGAGTGCCCGAGGGAGAGATTTTTATTAGTTCTACATATTACATGCCTCATCATGCCGTGTTGAACAAATCAAGTACTACTACTAAGCTGAGAGATGTTTGCGATGCTTCAGCTAAAACAACATTGGAACTTTCATTAAATGACATTTTGATGGTTGGGCCAAGAGTTCAGCAGGAGATGTTTCCATTTCTTCAGAACTTACAAAATTGTGGTATGTGCCGACGTAGAGAAGATGTTTAGACAAATTTGTTTCCACCCAGAAGATGCAAATTGGTAACGAATACTATGGACAGGGTTCATACGGTCCTTCAGAGTCCTTAAAAGTCCTTAGATTTTTTGGAATCGATTTTTGGTCCTTAAAAGTCCTTTATTTTGGACAAAATCAACAGAAGGTCCTTAATTTTAATCATCTGAAATTTCTGTCGGTTTTTACGACTGTCATTTTCACTGTGAATTAGCATTTTGAGGAATATTTTTGGTGATTCACTGCTGTATATATGGTAATCTTTTGAAAGGGTTCATGAGTTATAATTTGTTCCTATTTCTAATATAAATGATGGGATACTCGAGTTTCTAAGCAAGAAGGGGAACATAAGCATTTCAAAATTCATTTTTTCTAGTAAAGAGCTTTTAAACAACTTTTTGCTTTTGGGAATGTGAATTCTTTTATTAAAGGTTCTAAATTTTGCGACTTTTCAACATTTTGGCGATTTTAAGATTAGTTTCTATACAAACTTTTTAATTAAAAAATTTGAGAATTTTTTGACGATTTTTTTAAAACATCGTAACATTGATAAATTCTATTAAAACAATGGTAATATGTTGAAATTATATTTAAAAAATAACATTAAAACATTTTTATTTTTCGCTGTCATATTTATAAAGTTTCATTTTGGCAACTTATACAATATTTTAAATCTGAAAAATAAACAAGGTATAATGCTTTAAAGCACAATTTACTAAACAGCTCTTAGCAAAAGCAAAATTAGCTATGTAATTAATTAAAAATGTCTTGTTTTTAATTTTTTCATAGTAAGAGTTTTTCCCATGTAATCGTCTCAGAATATTCAAAATTCTCAGAATGTGCATCAGTTTTCTCTATAAAATTAATTTTATTCTTTTTCCCTCCTACTTTTTTCCAAAATAGTTCTGGCTTTTTTCTGTTACAGAAATGGTAGGGATAATTTTTCTTTAGGATTTTAGACATTGCAGCTTAAAAAGTTTAGAAGATTTTGAAGGCAAGATTTATAGACCCACGATTCTAGAAAATTCGAGAAATATGTGACAAACTGAAAAATGTCTCCATGGTATCGATATGTAGTGAATGTATTTTACAGAAAATTTGCAATTAATTTCTTAATTTTGGGAGAAAATTTAGAAGAACGATGAAAACATAATATTTGAATGTATTACTTCTGATACTAGAATCTTAACATGTTTATCTTCTCTTTATTTTCTCTACATTTCACTAGACAGAAGCATGGAAAATATCAAAAATGCTTCTGATCTTATCACATGGACAGGCATTATAGAAAGAGATTTTTTTATTAATAAAGAAATTGAAAGCTTAAAATTTAAAAGATTCATCTAATATTTCTTAATGCATTATCTGGCACTAGGCATTTTCCCACCTGATGCAATCTCTGTGGATCCTAAATTCTGCTGCCTACTGGTTTTCTAAATTCTGCTTCCAATGCTTGCTCTAAATTCTAAAAGTAAAACTAGATTCTAGCACTAAATTCTAGAAATTCTGCCACATCACCTCTGTAACCGTCCTTTACTATATATATTTCATATTCCTTCTGAATGTTTATATTACTAAAGAAATAAAATTAGCCACTTTTTCTGTACATTCTATATGCATTTAGTGTTTTTTAGAGTATTGGAAATCCTTAATTAAATCCAAAATTTCTAAAATGAAAAGGAAACGTGTTCAAGAAAGAAACTGAGTACATAAAGGAAATTATTCTTCAAAGATATGTGCAGTTATTATTATGTAAATTACCCAATTGTTATGATTTCAACCTTTACTATAATTTCCCATTTCTGTTTCAACAATGTAAAAATTTAGCAGATAGCCATGAAATTGCAGAAAAGGAGGTCTGGAGATCAGTACAATGAACACGTAAGTCAGTAGAAACATCATGCGTATGCAAATATCAGGAACGAAATGTCAGAGGCGATGTGAGCATACACAAAACGCATGATGTCAACGTGCAGCTGAACAGTAGAATGAAAGGAAGGATGGAGACGCAATTCAACATATTGGCTGCAAGTGTCGGTGAGTCAGTTCATGAAGTATGGCTAGAAGAAATCACCTGGACGACTTCACACGTGGAAGAATGATTGGAAAGCTGGAGGAGAGGCGTACTGTCACCAGTGTAGTTGCAGAGTTCGGAATCAACAAAAGTGTCGTTTCGCGTGCTTGGAAAGCCTTCCAAACCACAGGTACAGCTGTTAGAAAGGTTGGTGGTGGCCGCCCAAGGACAACAACTGCAGCGGATGACCATATATCATCCTGCAAGCAAAAAGAGGCTGACAGCAGTCAGCAAGCGCCGCACCATTGCTCAGCAACTCTGTACAGCAGTGTCGGGGTTTACTGTGGCTTGACGCCTTCACAAAGGGGGCCTATTCGCCCGCCGTCCTGAATGCTGCCTCCCGTTGAAAGTTGGCCATCGACTCCACCGTTAGCAGTGGTGTAGAGAGCACAAAAACTGGACAACTGATCAATGGAGTCATGTCCTCTTTACGGATGACAGTCGGTTCAGTACCAGAAGCGATTCTCAACGCGTCTTGATTTGGAGAGAGGTCGGGATCCGGCTTTATCCCAGTAACATCAAGGAAAGACACCGTAATGTTGGTCCTGAAGTTCTTGTCTGGGGAGGCATTATGCTGAATGGGCGAACTGAGCTCCATGTTTTCGACAGAGGGTCTGTAACCGGGGATCGCTTTTGTGAGGAGGTACTCCTTCCCCATGTGCATCTGTTCCGAGGTACCATTGGCCCAGACTTAATTTTTATGGATGACAATGCACAGCCCAGCCACATCGGACTCTTGCTGTTGAGGTGCTACTGGAAAGTGAAGATATCACTCAAATGGATTGGCCAGCGTACTCCTCAGATTTAAATTCCATCGAATATGTGTGGGATGCTTTGGGGAGACGCATTGCAGCACACTTACATCCTTCAGAGAACAGCCAACAACTCAAACAGATGCTGATTGAGGAATGGGCACTCCTACCGCAAGAAATGTTACACCAGCTGGTTCTGAGTATGCGAAGATGGTGCAAAGCAACCATTGCAGTGAGGGAAGAGCATATCCCATATTAAGGAACATCTGCTTGTTGTTCTTCCTCTTGGATAGACAATCATGAGTCACGATACTATGCGTTCAATAAAGCTTGTTTTTGTTTGATTCCGTACCGTATGCATTGTATTTTATTTCAGCTCCGATGATTTCGTCATCCTTTATGTACATAATACTCTTCTTCATTTTTGCATTTCATGTCTCTCCATTGATTTCTCATGGAGTTATGGCTAAAAACTCTGCTGTTGCTTAAGTTTTGCACACCAGTGTAATTGTCTAACTGAGTAAAGAATTCTAAAATATTAGAAATTTATATTTTGCGAATCGAAATTTATGCAATATTTACGCGAGTTTGCATATAGCTTCACTTTTGTTCGTATATATTTTTTTAAATTTAATTAGTTAGATTAAAATTTCTTTCTTTCCCTCCCTACCTTTTTTTTTTTTTTTTTTTTTTTTTTTTTTTTTTTGTTGTTGTTTATTTTATCAAATTGACAGATATTTTGTATAGTGTGTGAATTAATTTCTCTTTCTTATTTTTTACAGCATATTTAAACCTTTTATTGGAGGAAATGAAATTCAGAGCTCATACTTGAAATGTTCTCACATCGCAGAAGGGCATAAAAAAGCAGTCCTCACTGTTGACTGCACTGAAGATGTTCTTTTTAGTGGATCTGAAGGTAAGAGCATTTATGCATTTTACTGAATTTAAAGTCATGTATATATATGTATGTATATATGACATTATATACGTGGTAGGGGAGTTGAAGATGATACCGTAGGGTAAATAACATTTCCAAATGTTTTCCACACCACAGACATTTAATGAAAATACAGAAAAGGTACAGATTTAATCGAATCACAGTGCTGTTGGGTACAAACAGAATTCTGCATCATCACTCTTACATATTTTAAATAGCTGCTTGGCACCTACTCATGCTTGCTATCATATATAGTTCAGTTACCACCTCCGCGTGGAATCATACAGTTCTATAGTTACCACCCTCGTGTGGTATTGACATCCGTCCACATGTCGTCTTCCTCTTTCACCTCGCTCTTGCTGCAGGTGCATAAGTGATGCCCTCTGGTGGCTGTGTATAACTAACTGTTACAGTTTCGGCGATCCTGACTCTGTTTTTGCCCTCGAAAACACAGATCGACACTGGTACATCAAGACAGCACCTAAAAATAAATTTTAAAAAAAGGGGGGGAGGGAAAGATAGAAGTTTGGAAAAACCACGCACAGTCCTAAACGGGAACAGTCCAAGGCTTCATGTTATCAGCTGCTGTAGTGGTATAACCAGGACCTTCATGGTGTTCTACTTTTTCCGATCCTTGCCTTTCCTTGCTGTTACACGATACAGACCGAAGAACTTTAGACTACCACCATACTGCATTCTTTGTATGGCAACTAGGTCGTTTACATTGTATACCTGTACCTCTTTTCTCTTCTTGTTGCATGTTTTTCTATCCTTTTCCTGAATTTTTAGAATGTTTTTCCTTGCTTCTTCTCTCATATCTTCTCGATCTTTCATCATAATATTTGTTTCTTCTTCTTCGAGAATTTCCATAATCTTTAAGTCATCTCGATTTCTCATTTTAACACCAGTGAGAAGCTCAAAGAGAACTCTTTGTGCTTCTGCTCTTAATGCTGTTCAAGATGTGTTGCACATCTCCAGCATATTTGTACCACTTGGTTGAATCATCTATGAATAATTTGGATAGGACTGGAATCAGAGTGAGATGAATTCTTTCCACTTGTCCATTTCCTCTTGGAACGCCTGTAGTTGTAAATATATGCTGGATCTTCTCTTGATTACAGTAATTTTCAAAGTCTTTAGATGTAAAAGCCATACCTTTATCGCTTATTGTTCTCAAAGGATTACCGAAAGTTGATTGTTGCACTTTCACCTTCTGCAATGCCTCTTAAGCGGATGCAGACTTTACTGGATAGAGACACAGGAACTTTGTGGATGCATCAACCACAGTTAAGATATGATTGTAGTTCTTATTTGTCGAAGGTAATGGTCCTATAAAATCGAGATGAAAAGTGCTCAAAGGGACACTATCTTTTGGTATGGGATTCAGCAACCCTTCACCCTTACCTCGTTTTCTGTCGCACAAAATACATTCTACACAATTTGAGATAACTTGTTCAATTCATTTTCTAAGGTTAGGAATATATAAGTTAATTTTCAGCAGATCATCTGTTTTAAATACTGCGAAGTGTCCCTTGTGGATACTACATATGATTTTCTAGCTTTAATGCTTTGGGTACCACAAGTAACTTGAGACCATTGTCGAACTTGTATAATAAACTATTCTTCACTAGGAAATCTTTCCTTAGTCCTTGCTCGACTACGGATTTTAGCAACTGGAGATGCTCATCACTTCTTTGGGCAGCTGCAATTTTGGCTGCACGTTCTCTCTGAGAACAAGTAACCATCATGACAGCATTTCTACTTAACAAATCCACAGGCTTCATTTGCTGCCCAGATCTGTGAACAATTTCATAGTTAAATTCTTCTAGAAGTAACCCCCATCTCGCCACTTTGGGAGTTAAATCTTTCTTGAACAGTCTTCTGAAAAGCGTCACAATCAGTAATTATTCTGACCGTAGATCCTAAAAGGTAATTCCTGAATTTCTTTAGAGCTTCTACTATAGCTAAAACTTCAAGCTCATAACTAGATAGCTTCTCTTGTCGGAGGCTAGTTTTTTTACTCATGATGTAATGGGTTGTAACTGTCCATCATCTGACTTTTGTAGCAATACAGCGCCGAAACCATGACTGCTTGCGTCTGTATGCAAATCTAATGGTGCTCTTTGATTAAAAATATGAAGAACCAGACTTGTTGATAAAAGTTCTTTCAATTTGTTAAATGCCTCTTTTTGTTCACGCCCAAATTTGAATTCTGCTCCGTTACGAAGAAGATCACTTAGTGGTTTCGCTATTTTTGAATATTTGGCAATAAATATCCTAAAATACCCAGTAAGACCCAAGAAACTCTGCTTAAGGTTTTTGGGTTCCGGGAAATTTTGAACAGCCCTGGTTTTTTCAGGAGAGGGGCGAATTGTACCATCCTCAATAACATACCCGAGAAATTCTATTTTTCTTTGCAAAAATTGGCATTTCTTAAAATTGATCTCCAAACCGTAATTCTTTGGCTACTTCTAAAATGTGTTTTAACTTTTCTAAACCTTCTTTCTTGTTTGGTGCTAGAATAATAAAATCATCCATGTAAGTAACAACAGTGTCATCCCGAATTAAATCTCTAAACACATTATAAATAAATCTTTGGAACACACTAGGAAACGTGCACAAACCAAAAGGTGCTTTTAGGAATTCGTACAAGCCTGCATGTGTAATAAATGCCAAATGTTTAGTGCAGTTTTCCTTCACCGGAACATGAAAAACCGGAACCGGAATATTTTTGCTTACTTCTAGAAGTCTAATGTCGAAAAAAATCTGTGCTTCACCCAAATGATCTAAAACCTCTTTACTTGTGCCATGGGAAAAGAGTCCTTAACTATTTTTTTATTTAACTGCCTGAAGTCAACACAAATTTGTGTCTTGCCACAATTTTTTCTACACAAAACAATTGGCGAAGCATATTCTGATTATGATCCCATCCTTTAACCATTCATCTATTTGGTCATGAACAATTTTTTGGTCAGCAAAAGGAATTCTCCTCGAACGCTGAGAAACTGAAATTTCATCTTTTAATATTACTTTCATCTTTAAGTCTGTATTTCTAGTGATTTCTAGTGATTTATACTCTTTCATAAGAATGAAAACAGTATTGCATAATCTTCTATCCTTAATGTGTGATAAATCTATTTCTCTGTCTCCCTCAATGGCTGAAATACCGGCTCAGTGTGCTGACCATTACACCGTGAAGGCACCCAATCCCTCAATGGCTGCAGAAATAAAAGACAAAAAAATCCTTTCCAGAGAGACTGAATCATTTTCATATTCCGTAATCATCACCCGATCAGAACAGATGCCAGCAAACATTTTTAGACTCGATGGCGGCAGAATGCATTCCGTTATCAGCTCATAAACCATCACTGCCTCTAGTTCAACTTGTTTTTCGCTTTCGCATAAAGAAAAAATAAACTTAGCCGTTTCCGCTTTAACCACGTGACCAAAAGAACTTTTGATTTCTATTAATCCACATGGTATTTTATCCGAAAAAAGAGATTTCTTTACAACTATGATTTCATTCCCAGAATCTATTAAACATTTTATTTTCTTACCATCAATCAACAGTTCAATAAGTTTTAACTTATTTCTAGCTGCATTATCCAATAAAATCTTTAACTCAGATACCTTTTTTTGAGACAAATTCTCCTCCTTTTCCAAACATGTGGGGCAATTTCTCCCAAAATGAAACAATTCACCTTTACTCCCATATACATAGCAAATACGTTCTGTTTTACTACTATTCTGATTTACAAGCTTCCCTGAATCCTTGAAATTGCTTTGAGCTTTTCAAAGATTGTTTTTGGAAAATTTTTTATTTTCTGGAGTTTTGATTCGCTATGTTACTGGTATTAGCTAAAGACTTACCCCTGGACAAATAAAATAAATCACATTCTCACTCCAATTGATTAGGTGGGAACCAACTTTGCCCCTCCCGAACACTAACATGTTCCTCTGTTTTAGAATGAAGAGTTTCATAGAACTTATCAGATACAATCAGATCACACAATTTCTTTAAATCATCTATTTCTCTTAACTTACAATAATAATTGAAAGTTGTACTGAGTCAATACACGAACTGAACATGCAATTCAGATGAATGTGTCTGAGCATTTTTAAAATTATTCAAACATTCACGCGGTGTCGGCTGAAATTCTTTCAAGATTAGTGCTTAGATTAGTGTTTTTTAATTTATCATAATCCGTGATCTCTTGTTCAGAAGCATACGTTAAAACATTATTACCTTTAACCCCTAGCAAATTAATTACTGTCTCAGCTTGTAAGTCTTGGGGAACTTCTTTGTATAGAATTATGGTGGCAAAAGCTTTTTTTAGAGAAATGAAAAACAAATGCAATGCCTCTGGCCCCTTAGGGACAGAGATTGTAAGCGTTTTAACACTTTTTAGTAAATTTTCAACACTAGACTGCGCGTTTCTTCGATCACCTGATAATAATTGTGATTTTTAATTTTCTAGCTCAATCTGCTTCTCAATTTGGGCTAATTTAAGACGTTCGATCTTTAACAGATAGTGTTCATTACTTGTTGTAGGCGTCCAATCCTCGGCAATCGATTTGATGACGCCACGAACAAACTCAACATTCATTTTGAAGACATCAGAATTTTTGATAATTTTTCTAATGTCAGCTTTTTTAGCATTTTTTTGGAACAGTCTCTCCAATGTTTTCGGGAATTAATTTTAAGTCACTCTTGTTTAAATTACTTAAGAAACTCATTTCAAAAACGAAACAGAAGTATCACTATCTTGAAGAAAGAAAGTAAGCAAAATTTTCACAGTACCTTCATTGAAGTATCTCGGTCAAGCCCCCAGATTTTCTATGGTAGGGGAGTTGAAGATGATATCCTAAGGTAAATAACATTTCCAAGTGTTTTCCACACCACATGAATACAACAGATTAATGAAAATAGCAGAAAAGGTACAGATTTAATCAAATCACAGTGCTGTTGGATACAAACA